CCTCCCTCCTTTTTCCTTCCCTCCTTCCTTCCCTCCCCTCCTTCCCCCCCCCCCCGCTAATGGCAAGGATCCTTTCAAATAAAGTTTTGCTAAACTAACCCTAACCCTGGAGGAATCTCTCTCTCACCCTTGGCGGCTTTTAAGGACTTCAACTCCCAGAATTCCCCAGTGTTTACCAACACTCAGAAGAACATTCATCTCATTTTTTGGCAACCTTCCTAATAGATAAGCAGCTTCCTTAATAGACGGTGGGAATGTGGCAGATGTCGTATATCTTGGCTTCAGCAAAAGGGCTTCCCAAGTGGAAAAGGGGAATTCTGGGAGTTGAAGTCCGCCCCGCTTCGCCTGCCGGCTCACCCACCTTCTGGCCATGAGGTAGTAGCGGTCCACGGGGACCCCCAGGGCCACGTTGATGCTCCGGACGGTGTTGATGTTCCGGAAGACGAGCAGCATGGAGCGGGGCAGGTCCCTCAACACCCGCATGACGCAGTCGAAGCGGTGCTTAGCCATGTCGCGCATGTAGGCCGTCTCCTCCGCCGTCAACACGTTGGACAGCACCAGCTCCGCCATGTTGATGGGCCGCTGCAGCAGCATCTCGCAGAAGACCAAGTAATCCTGGGCTGAGGTGGGTGGGGGGGGAGGACAGGGGCAGTCAGGAATGGAGACCCTCCCCCCACCTACCTCCCCCCAACACACCAGGCCAGAAATGAAATGAAACGAGGGGCAATTGGACATCGAGTTGCCTTCCTTCCTTCCCTCCTTCCTTTTCTCCCTTCCTTCCCTGCTTCCCTCCTTTCCTTCCTTCCCTCTCCTTCCTTCCCTGCCCCTTTCCCTCCCCTTTCCTTTCTTTCCCTCCCTCCATCCTTTCATTCCTTCCCTCCATCCTTCCCCTCCCTCCCTCCCTCTCCTTCCCTCCTTCCTTTCCTTCCTTCCTTCCCTCTCCTTCCTTCCCTCCCTCCCTCCCACTCCTTCCTTCCCTCCCTCCTTTCCTTCCTTCCCTCCATCCTTTTCACCCTTCCTTCCCTGCTTCCCTCCTTTCCTTCCTTCCCTCTCCTTCCTTCCCTGCCCCTTTCCTTCCCTCCCTCCTTTCCTTCCTTCCCTGCCCCTTTCCCTCCCCTTTCCTTTCTTTCCCTCCCTCCCTCCTTTCATTCCTCCCTCCCTTCCCTTCCCTCCCTCCCACTCCTTCCTTCCCTGCCTCCCTTTCCTTCCTTCCCTCCATCCTTTTCTCCCTTCCTTCCCTGCTTCCCTCCTTTCCTTCCCTCCCTTTCCTTCCTTCCCTCCATCCTTTCCTTCCTTCCCTGCCCCTTTCCCTCCCCTTTCCTTTCTTTCCCTCTCCTTCCCTCCCTCCCTCCCTCCTTCCTTCCTTCCTTCCTTCCTCTCGTTGGTGCACTCTGAGCTTGGTGGTTTTCTTGCAGACATTTCATGACCCAACTGGGGAACATCATCAGTGTCCTTCCTCCCTTTCTTCTCCCTCCCTCCCTCCCTCCCTTCTTGTCTCTGAACTTGGCTGTTTTCTTGCAGTGCCTTTATTGCCAAACGAGGCAACACCAACCGTGGGCTCTGAGAAGAAGCTCCATTCCTTACTAGTATTGATGATGTTCCCTAGTTGGGTCATGCAACGTCAGTAAAAAAAAACCACCAAGCTCAGAGACCACCAAGCACCCCATAATCATCCTCCTCCTCCTCCTCCCTGCAACCCCTCCTCCCCTCTATCACTGATGATGTTCCCTAGTTGGGTCATGAAACGCCTGCAAGAAAACCAAGCCAGCTCAGAGAGCATCAGGGACTCCATAGTCCTTCCTCTCCTCCTCCTGCCTTTTTATTCTTCCTCCTCTTCCTCTCCATACACCCCTCTCCCTTCTAGCACTGATGCTGTTACCCTAGTTGGGTAATAAAACGCCTGAAAGAAAACAAGCCAGCTCAGAGAGAGCCAAGGGCCCCTTCAGGTCAACCCTGAGCTACAAATCTCCTCCTCTGAGTTGCAAGCAGGGCAGCCAATTCAGAAGGAGGAGGGGGGGGGTTGGCGGCTTGCACCCCTCCCGACTCAGCCAGGAAAGGGGAGGGGGGGGTGTTTCTCCTCCTGGGGACGTGAGATTTCCAGGGAGGAGTAACCCAGCCAAGGCAGCCTGATCTTAAGTCTTGAGGGGGCTGTGTGGATCCAGCCAACTCCAGTTACTCAACCAACTGCACCCAATCCGTGTCCCTCCTCACCTTTTACGCCCAGCTGCTTGGAATGCAGCTGCATGGAGGCGTCGTCCCGCAGGATGATGGCGCGCCAGAGCTTACACAGAGCTTCCCGCTCCCTGGGGGAGGGCAGAGAGGACAGCTGTCAGCAAGGGGGGGGTGGGAGAAGGGGGGGATGCAGCTGCAGAGCCTCGCGGGGCCCAGGCGGCAGCCGCCAGAGGTAGTCTCCGAGTTATGACGGCCATTGGGAGTGGAATGCCCGCTAGGCGATACCACCTTGCAGCAGGACGCCAAGCGATTGCATTCCTGAGAGACGGCAGCCCCGCCTGGGGAAGGGCCGCCTCCTCTCAGCTTCCTGCAACGGCCCAAGTCGTTGGGGAAGCTGGCAGGAAGTCGACGGGCCTACAGATTGTCCTCAAATTACCACCACAAGTGAGCCCAACTTTTCTGGCGCTGAGCAAGACCGTTTTTAAGTGAGTTTTGCCCCGTTTGTCTTGCCACCGTTACTAAGCGAATCGCGGCAGTTGTTACGTTAGGACGTTAAGTAAGTTAGTGGCTCCCACATCGACTTTGCTCGTCAGACGGTCGTAAAAGGGGATCACGCGACCCCGGGACACTGCGACCGTCATAAGTATGAGTTGCCAAGCCCCTGAATTTTGATCCCATTGACCATGGGGTGAAAAACGGTCCTAATTCGTTTTTTCCAGTGCCGTTCTCGCTTCGAATGGTCATTAAGTGAACCGTTGTAAGTCGAGGATGACGTGCCGCTGCCGGAGCGAGAGGTTGCTACTGAGGGAGTTGCAGGGGATCCTCCCTCCCCCGGCATGCTTACTTCTCGTGAAGGACCTCGTAGAGGCCGTGATCCAGGATAACCAGCTGTGCTTTCCCATCTGGGCCCTTCTGCACCAGCACTGCGGGAGAGGAACGGGGGACGGGCATGAGAGTCCAGAGGGGAAGCACCCCCTCCCCACCCCTCTCCAGGAAATGCCCTTTAAAGCCCCCCCCTTTTCCGCCAGGCTCTCCATCCATCGGGGCTCCTCGGACCGGCTCTAGGAAGAGCACAGGGAACCCAAACTTGACCCCAGGGGGGTCCCATGTCAAATGGTAGATCCCATCGTGATCAGCTGTAAGCTGAGGGGATCTACTGGTCCAGGATCTGGGGTTTTTTTTCATATAAAGAATGCTGCGCTTCAAGAGCCGAGGTGGCGCAGTGGTTAGGACAGTGTTTCTCAACCTTGTCAACTTGAAGATGTCTGGACTTCAACTCCCAGAATTCCTCATCCAGCAAATGCTGGCTGGGGAATTCTGGGAGTTGAAGTCCAGACATCTTCAAGTTAACAAGGTTGAGAAACACTGGGTTAGGGTGCAGTACTGCAGGCTACTTCAGCTGACTGCAGTTCTGCACTTCAGCTGTTCAAATCTCACCGGCTCAGGGTTGACTCAGCCTTCCATCCTTCCGAGGTGGGTAAAATGAGGACCTGGATTGTTGTTGGGGGCAATATGCTGACTCTGTAAACTGCTTAGAGAGGGCCTGAAAGCCCTATGAAGCGGTATATAAGTCTAACTGCTATTGCTATTGCTAATGGAGATTGGTACCCGACCGCAGAGCTTTAGAAGACTCGTATTTGATTGTCATTTTTGGAGAAATCTAGGTGAAATATTAATGTGTATTGCAGTGGTGGGTTGCAGCCGATACAGCCCGGGACAGGCGTACCGGTCGTAGCCGGGAGCGGCTGACAGCGGACCAGTATGGAGGCTCACTTGTCCCACCCACCTGTATCGATTTTTAAAGCAACCGGGGAATTGCGCACATGAGCACAGTGTGTGGTGCCTGCACGAGCTCCGACCGGCAGCTGAGGGTCGCAGGGGCGGTGCGCATGGGCACGAAAGGACGCGTGGCCCCGTGAGCACCGTACCGGTAGCGACGGGGAGGGGAACCCACCACTGACGCATTGCCAGTCCGTGGACCACATGCCGTAAGAGACGAAATAAAACGAATAAGCCTTTCGTCCTCGGCTGAGCCTCCTACCGTTTCCCGGGTGGGGATCCGCGTGGATAAATCCGGTGAAGAAGATCTGCTCGGCAAACATCTTGATCAGTTTCTCTGCTGGCTGGAGGGGGAGAGGAAGGGGAGGGGTCTCAAAAGGGGATAAGAGCCTCCAGCAACAGCCGCCCTCGGGACTCTCTGAGCTTCCTGGGGGTTTTTGCAGACGTTTCATGACCCAACTAGGGAACATCCTCAGTGCTAGAAGGGAAGGGGTGTGTGCAGAGAGGAGGAGGAAGATGAAGGAGGAGGAGGGGGACTGTGGGGTCCTTGGTGCTTTCTGAGCCTGGTGGTTTCCTTCCAGACGTTTCATGACCCAACTAGGGAACATCATCAGTGCTAGGAGGAGGTGGAGTTTGCAAGGAGGAGGAGGGAGGAGGCCTGTGGGGTCCTTGGTGCTTTCTGAGCCTAGTGGTTTCTTTGCAGACGTTTCATGACCAAACTAGGCAACATCATCAGTGCTAGAGAGGAGTGGGGTGTGCAGAACAGAGAAGGAAGGAGGGGGGGAGGGTTGTGAGGTCCTGGGTGCTCTCTGAGTTTCGTGGTTTTCTTGCAGACATTTCATGGCCCAACTAGGTACCATCATCAGTGCTAGAAGGGAGTGGGGATTATGTGGAAGAGGAGGAAGAGGAGGAGAAGAGGAAAGAAGAGGAGGAATGTGAGGTTCTTGGAGTGCTCTCTGAGCTTGGTGGCTTTCTTGCAGACGTTTCATGACCAAACTAGGCAACATCATCCCCCTAAAAGGGGATGGAGTCTGCAAGGAGGAGGAGGAGGAGGAGGAGGAGGAGGAGGAAGGAAGGAAGGAAGGAAGGAAGGAAGGAAGGAAGGAAGGAAGGAAGGAAGGAAGCCTGGGGGGTCCTTGGTGCTCTCTGAGCTTCGTGGTTTTCTTACAGACGTTTCATGGCCCAACTAGGTACCATCATCAGTGCTAGAAGGGAGTGGGGATTGAAAGGAGGAGGAGGAGGAGGAGGAGGAGGGGAAAGAAGAGGAGGAATGTGAGGTTCTTGGATTGCTCCCTGCTTGGTGGCTTTCTTGCAGACGTTTCATGGCCCAACTAGGCAACATCATCAGTGCTAAAAGGGGGTGGAGTCTGCAAGGAGGAGGAGGAGGAGGAAGGAAGGAAACCTGGGGGGTCCTTGGTGCTCTCTGAGCTTGGGGGTCTTCTTGCAACTAGGCAACCTGATCAGTGCCAGCCAGGGGAGAAGCGGCACAAGCAGGACTCAGCCGAGCCGGTGACCCCCAGCCAACCCAACCAGCCTCCCAATGGCAGCCGGGACCCCCTGATGATCCCCCAACCTCCTCCCCCCTCCCTCCCTCCC